TACTGAGTAGTACCGCGCCCGCGCCGGCCGCGCGCGGCCCCACATGTCGGCTTAATTCGATCGATCAAATTGTTACATGTGCACATAGTTTGCCAACCGGTTAACGGATCAAAAATCGCATCTAAGCATCTAAGCAATGGTTGGCCCTCTGAAATCATGCAAAACGGATCAAAAATTGCATCTAAGGGGGCATCTAAGCATCTAAGCAATCATTGAATGGTTGGCCCTCTGGAATCATGCAGGTACAATCCAACTATATCGGATTAACGTACCTAGCTTCAAATATAGAGCCAGTGTAATTGGAGATGAGTCGGCTGGAAGCCAGCAAGATACCGTGCAATATTGACTCATGGATGTACAACCCGGCTTCATATGACTTTCTATCATGTATGCCATTCAAGACGCCTATAGCCTACGGCGAGAACGAAGGATCAACAAAGGAGAAGTCGCAAGCAGCAGATGCCTTTCTAGTCGCGCCGGGTCAAAAATATGTTTACAAACTAGACAACATTCTGTGCTCCGACGGCAGGAACCGACTTAAAAGTGCACCTCTGTTTGCATCAAAAATACGCAGAGGTCCCACCGGGATTTGAACCCAGGTTACTGGATTCAAAGTCCAGTGTACTAACCACTATACTATGGGACCGAGTTCACCAATACTTGCGGGCGAGGCTTTGAAAGATATGTACTATTATTAAAAGTCACGTGGCCCGCAAGCTTTCCGCGTGTCATGCTACGATTTGCAGAAAGTGGCGCGCGTACTGGCGAATTCTGGGAAGAAGGTGAACAGTTGCGCTTGAAGTTGAAGCAGGCTCGCCGCTCTCTCCTTGAACTGCAACAATTCTGGGAGGGGTCAGAACGCTGGGATTTGGCGCTGCTTGGCGCTGCCTACTCCAGTGTCACCATGGAGCGGCCCAGGCAGCTTCCTCTATTCTGCTCGAAAAGTGATGCAGAAGGAGAAAGGGCTGACAGTGTTTTGACTTGGAAGCTCGACTTCAGAGACACAGGCTGAAGACTTTTCTGCGTCTTGCCCAGCATTAGGGTTCAATCCATTCTGCAGTAGCTTCTGGTGAAGCTTGACTGGTGCAGTTTTGCTTTCCTTTATGGTTTAAAGATTGGAGGTCTTGTTAAGCTGGGGTCTCTAGTTCTTCAGTGCTGCTTAGCAGTGCAAGCTCAGAGTTGAGCTGCAGTGCACCCAGCGAAGCCACGCCTGCATCTCAACTGAAAAAGAAGTGATAGCTTAGCTTCAAGAAAAGCCATGCGCAGCGTTCAATAACAGCAGGCAGCTGCATTGGTCGTCATTGGACCTCACCAAGCAAACTATCAATTTGAGAAAGAACAGTAGGAGGAGGCAAAGCCCATGCACGAGTGCTGAAGCAGAAACTTCAGAAAGTCCAGGAGAAGGATCCAAGCGCCTGGTTTCTGTGCATTCTGCCAGTCAGTAACAATGTCGACGGAGAAAGTGCAGCCCATTCTGGAGGGGTATCTCAAGAAGCAGTCGCCCAAGGGGCTGCTGGTGAAGCCCTGGCAGGAGCGCTACTTTGTGCTTCAGCCAAACGGCGAGATATTGTATTATGCCTCTCACCAGTCGATGTCAGACGTGACAGGGCGTATCAAACTGAGGACAATCACTGAAATTGGTGTTAGCAAGAAGAACGGCTGCTTGATTGAGATCCAGGCGCTTAAAAAGGGCAGCCCAAGAAGCTATCTGCTACTAGCAAATAACAGCTCAGATGCTCGAATGTGGCTGGACAATATTGAGGACGTCAGGAAGAAGTGTGAAGAAGCAGACAAGAAAGGGTCGGTGAGGGCCCGCTCTTCGTCATGCTCGGCCAATGCTTGCTGGATAAATCAATCTGGGGATGCTTCAGTGCAAGTTTCTGAATAGTTCGTTCTGTGTTTTCATGTTTGTGAACAATCCTGTGCAAAGAGCCAACTTGCCTTGTTGACATCGAGGTTCATGACCACGGCCAAATTTGCAAAAGAGGCAAGTTCATGCACTGCGTTTTCATAATCTATTCCAGCTGCAGAATGTCGAGACCATTCTTGTGCAAATCAGGTCAGCTTAGAAAAGCTTGCTTTCCATTGCAGGAAACACCGAAGAACAAGATGAGCCTAATTTTCCAATGCCCCGATGGAGTCACGTTTATCGAGCGCCCTGTTAGTGCAACTGAAAACATGTACGAAGTGAAGGCAGGCTTCTTTGCGCATGCAAAGCGGATGGTGAGTTTCATGTTGGATAGTCTGCTCCCTTTCTGGTAAAGTGTTGATAGTGTACGCCACTGATCTGCAGACGTCAACATACCAAAATACGTCAACCTGCAGATGTCAGAGGTGTATGTTGTTTCTTTTTTCAGAGAGGAGGTCTGTCAGCAGACCGAACTCCTTCCACTGCAGTCCAGTGTATGTCCTAGCGGAAAAGCTAGCACTGCTTGTACCATCATCAAACTGAACTTAAGAACTCACAGCGATGTGGAAAATGCTGTCCCAGTGGAGTCAAGGCTTGCAAAATCCCCAAACGCCATCACAAAAGCAGTAGTGCTAAGCTTCTATCGTGTAGCCCACAAAAGTTCTGACAACAAACTCATTCTTGCAGGGTCGACCCTTGCCGGGTGTTTCAGAGGACTACCTGGTGATCCTTGAAACCGCAGATCTGGAACCCCAACAGATTTTTCTGGAGGACATCCGAGGGGAACTATATCCTTATCGCCACCGCACTTCTCATGCTTGAGCTCGTCCGTGCCCTTTACATGCGTCCACTTTGACTCGCCAGCACATCAATTCTGTTGATCAGAAGCTCTTCCTTCACAACTCTTTGTTACAATGTCTTCCTTGACATCTGTGCACTGGCCAACATCCATCCTTCGCGACCGCGTTCGCTGAGAAGCAGTCCTGGAAGGCGGTCGTCAAGCCCCTGGCTGAGATGTCGGAGCTCAAGGTGTGATCATCCAAACTTGTACCTTTTCCCATTCAAAGTACCCATAATCCGGACACTTGTACACAAAAGCTCCCTACAAAAGTGAGGGCGTATCGCAGATCGAAGTTAGAGTACCAGTCAACAAAGTAAGCTTTCCGTAGGGGACTGTAGAAGTAGGCAGACATACAGGAGTCCCTAGAAGAGCAGGGGGAGAAACAGGCAGGGGTAGGAAATGGACTTAGGCTAGTATGGCAATCTGGACATTCAAGAGTGTATGAACCAGCTTGAAAAACTGTTTTACAAAGATCTCGACTCCTTTGTCAACACCCGCTCATTGTATGAATCTTGCCTTGGCTCATCTCAGAAGCTGTGTCCTTGTCAACAGCTTGGGCCTACCAGAATGTTCTCTTCATTCTGAATGCTATATGACCAATGCATTGCTTAAAAATCGGGCTGCAAGCTAGGGGAAAGAGCTGTAGAACTCTACAGCACTCGATGGGTCCTCTGCCACACCAGTTCACGGACTATGTATGGGCGTGCGTAAGCTGAGCTTTCGTAGGGTGCTTGTTGGGCCCTTCATGCAAGAATTCCTGCATATAGCAAAATTCCAACATGGACATAACTACCACCACAGCAGATCTTGCAGCAATAATTGCCCAATAAGCAGCTGTCTGTTGGGCCCCCTTTTGACTTACTGTTCATGTGCTTTCAACGTCCATGTAACCATGCCCGCAGCAACAACTGGAGCGGCAGCGGAGCACGTCGCAGGAGATCGAGATCCTGGTAGGGAGGAGCGCGTCGGTCAGCAGCGCGGACTCGGTGTACCTCTCCGAAGTTATCAGGTGAGGGCCGACTATTCTTACGAGACATCGGGTAGGAGACGAGAGCATTTTTGCGTTTTTACTTTGTCCCGGAACCAGGCCCTTTCACTTTTCTTGAGCGGAGGATGCGGCCATGAGTGAAGGAATACATCCACCAGAAGGATCTTCTGGCACCACCTCATGCGTCTTGATTGTCTGGTGCCCCTTAGCCGCAACCATACGGAAGTGAATGAGCTGCCGGTCATTCCCATCTTCTTAGCTCTGTCTATCACGGAAGCGGGGTCTCAGATTCTTCCCCAGCGACTCTGTCGTATCTTGTCCCTGATGCTTTTTGTCCCATCCACCATACTCAGTGAAGCCTCTTCGGCTTTGATTGGTGGGCTTCTCCGGACGCCCGAACTCTGAGGTCATGCCACAACACTCGTGGCAAGCAATAGTCCCCGAGTTGTGACGCTGGGTTATGGACTTGTCAAAGTGGTCGTAGTTGTCGAGCGCCCTGTCGCCCTAGGGCAGTCTACGACTAGGCGTGCTCTACTCTCGTCTTCAAGCCGCTTGTGAACAACAATTGAGCGGCCTTTTGACTTATTGAGCATGTTTGGCAGTCTACGATCTTTTCCGTGCTCATGAAGGGTGTGTCTGGTGCCCCTTGTAGCACCTGCTTCTTTAAGGCACTATATGAGTCACGGACGACTTCTCAGTAGTGCTGCTCCTTACAGAGCTGATAAGCTTTTTGTGCTTTCGCATGGACCCGTCCCTTTGCAGGTTCACATATCTTGCTGGAAAAGCTCTTGCTTCGTTTCTTCACAATCTGCTTTCGAGTGTAAGTAATAACATCTTGGCCCGTCCTGGTGGGTTTATTTGAAAATTATGCGGGCAAACCTTGACAACGAATGACGCGTCGATGCATGTTAAGGGTGTTTGATTTGTTCAAGCTTTTGCTGGCAATGAGGACGATGTGCACTGATGCCAAAGTGCACCACCGTTTTGGTTGTACTCGATGCCAAAAAATGAGGATTGCTGAAAGCTTGACAGTCGATGGAAAATCTGCAGAAAGTCTTGCTCTGCTCGTTATGCGAATGGTTGCTCCGTCTCGATCTCTAACAGAAGAGATTTTGATTGCCCTTTGTCAATCAAGCTTGCGTGGCGGGGTTGGCTCGATCTCCCTCGTTCTTCCTGTTTTGTCTCTGCTCGCTGCCAAAACCTGCGCAGTTTTGGAGATGCGCAGCTCTGTCGCCTTTGGCGGTTTCTTCTGTCCTCATTGCGTCGAAGAGGATGGATCGACAACTTTGTCATTGCCTTGCAACTTCGACATCGAGTGTTCACTCATTTCGGGATCTGGAAAGCGCATAATTCCTTTTAAGCGATCCCTAGAGAAACATACATCGCAGGATCTTCATAACTGCTGTTCCTGTGCAACTATACCTATTCAGGGCTGAACGGTTACTGCCGTGTTTCACATGTCGCTTTCTTCTTTGCAATCGGTACATCCCCATCTGGCATATCTGCCGGACTTTTATCCGAAGGCATCTTTCTTCCTAAAGTGAACTTGCTTCCTCCTGCAATCTAAGATTCCATTGACCGTTCTGAAGCAATTCCGCTGTGCCTTGGTGGATCTTTTACCAATTCCGCCTCTTTCGTTTTGCAAAGTTAGTCGAATATCCAGGACTGCCGTTCGTTCGACTCGGCAGGATTTCCTAGTTCGATTGTGCTTCACCTGGAGGCCTGTCTCATACTTGCCAGCCGTGAACTCTGAGCGATGTAACGGACGGCACAACGAACTTTTCAGCAGAACGTGTAAGAAACTTCTTCAGTTTTGACGGCGATGATGAGGCTGGTGGCACTGGGCCACGTAGGCCTTCCGAGTTTCCGTGGCGGCAAGTCATCGTCCTTCCCTTTGAACACGTAGCCGCTTGTCATGTACAGACAAGATTTTAGAGCAGTAATAGGCAATCTCCGAAGTGAGTTCAGAAGAGGGTGCCAGGTGGTAGTATCACTTGCAAGTCCGTAAGTGAAGCTAGTCTCAAGCTGAGCGCTCCTATCACAAATTTCCAACAGTTATATTTTCAGACAACGAGATGCTCTGGGCAGCTTTGCGAACGACTCAAACTAGTTACGTCGCTGGTATGGCCAATGCGGACTGCGTTCGTCGTGGCGTGCCACACAAGTTGGAACAGTGAGTCCTGAGGCCATTTTCGCCCAATTGCACGCAGCCTTCGCGCTGGTTGAACATCCAAAACCTGCTACCTCTCAGTGGTACTTTCCCGATATCTAAAAGCACCCACGAACGCATTGCTCGGTCGGGCGTTGAGTAAATCCGCAAGCGGGTGCCCGGCCAGGTGCTCTTGCACCGGGCAGCATATGCATCAAAGTCCAGATTTGAGCTGTTTGGGGTTTCCTTATACGGACAGCAGTCACGTTATTTGCGTGTGGCTACGTCCGTGCTTTCGTGAGTGGCCAAAGAAGAGGCCGTATGGTGTGCCGCTTGGCATCAACTCGAAAATGGCACTGAGGCTCTAACGTCACACTAGCAGGTCCCTTCGTGCTCGTGCACCCGACAGCTTTACTGAACTTCCTGGTTTGTCACATGCCTTCGCTTGTGCCACCTTTATTAGAGGATTTCCCGGTTACCTCGATTGATGGGATGCACTCGAGAGCGAAAAGGTTTATGGTGGCTCTTCGAGATGAGGAAGCTGGCTTCCCAAGCGCTCCTCCAATTCAAGCTTTTCTGCTCTTTGTGTGTTCTAGGAAAGCCGTTTTCAAAGTTTGATCGGGAGCTGACGTAGTTAACTTCACGAAATGACGCCAGAGCTGCCAGTACGAGGGCAACATGTGTGAGGGACTTAGGCTGGTTGGCCGAGTTTCCGGGGGGCAGCTACGAGCTCTGGTATCGTGCATAAGTCTTGCATGTAGAGCACTTTTGTCGATTGCATAGTAGCTTATCGTGCTTCTGCACTATCGCCGTCGCAAGCGCAGAGGTAATAGATTTTGCGAAGTATTACCCGCTTGTTTCTCGTCCATGATCGCACATTGTTCCACGTCCCCAAGCTTTTCTAAATATGTCCTGGACAGCTTTTAAGCTAGCGCTGGCTGATGTAAACACCTAATTTCTTATGGGAGCGTTCCTGGAGTGTCTTATATTATGAAGCACACACGCGAAGCCAATGAGGACCCACTTCGGTGATGCTTTACTGCATCATCGACGCAACGATCGCGGAGGCCATTACCGCACAACTTCTCGCTGCAACCGGACACATTGTTATCATCCTTCTCTTTGCCGTAGACCAACTACCTGTACCAGGAATTCAGTTACGACTCTGCCACGTCAATTTGAGCGAAGCAGATTTTCAGAGGTGCCTTACGCAAGTTTCTCGTGTTATCAAAGATGGGCCTAGGAGGAGCGCATTGGCTGATGCCCTTCATCACGCCGCTCTCTGTTCTGAGGCCACCCTGGAGCTCTTGGACGTTCAATTGACTGCGAGGGTTTGCCGTTCATCTCGCCAAAACGTTTGGTCGATTCTGCTTGATCTACTTGTAGCTCAGACGAGGCTCTCGCCTACGATAATAGCTACCTATGAATCTCCTGCCAAACGACTCGTCCTCCTAGAGTCAGTTCTTGGCGGTTCTACACTTGACTATCCCTCCTTGCACATGTCTTGCTACTGGACCATGCCGGTAGTTCGTGCTTAAGTAAAACGAGACCTACTTGGACTTTGTTCCGGATGGAGTGGAACGTGCCTGCTTTTACATTGGGCAGGGTCCTAAACTTATCGACCTTTTTTGCCCAGGAAGGAATTCCGGTGCACAGCAATCACAGGAGGTTTGGCTGCCAAACGTCTCGGTAATCGAACTTGAATCTGATACTTTCTACCAATTAGAACGTTGTAGCCGTATCAAAAATCTGGTTAGGGCGCAAGTGTGGTTATCGGACACACCACCAGCTTCGAACCAGCCTTAACCGACCCGGTTTACCGCCACAAAACTCTGTAAATGCGCCGTCCCCAGTGCACAGCGTGCACATGTTCGGCACCGCGTCGGTCTAGTTGTCCTCTTACACACTCCCCCTAGCCTGCTAAGCTGCTTATGGTTGACTTCGCTTGAGCCGTCGATAAAATCTGTAGTTATCTGAGATTTTGAGTGAAAGCTGGACAATCGAAGACTCCTTTAGAGAGGAAAAAGGAGATAAGGCGATGTTCAAGAACGTGTCCGGCCTTGGTTTGTGCTTACCATCACTCATCAGGTGCGAGGCCAATCGAGCCTAGGTTGCTGGTCGACGGGACTCTCACAAGAGAAGTTGCGGCCAATCTTGGACGTTAAAGCTGGTTACCTTATCTACGTGGAACCGAGAGGCCTTCCGATGCCTTGGCTTATCTCAAGCGTGCTGCGAAGTATGATTTGCCACGTGACTTTGACGTGCGACTATATAAAGAAAAGAATGTTGTTTGCTTCTAAGCATCTCATGCAAGTGGTTCCAATATATATCTATTCCTTTCGCTTAGGCCGCAGATTGAGTCAAACAGGCAACGAGCATCGTTTGCCAGTGGTGCATACCGCATCATGTCCTGTACTGTCGTTGACGCCCTCGACGCAAACAGTATGCGAAGAACAGCTCGGAAAGAGTCCAGCTTTCAGATTGCATTCCTGGGCTCCAATCCTTTTCGTTGAAGGTGACTGCCAGTACATCAAGCCTGCCGCCTGCCAGATCTACCAACATAAGTCACTTCTTCTTTCTACTGTCTTTGGATCTTCTTCAACTTGTGTAAGAGTTAGGAGCAGTGGGTATGACAACTCACAACTGTCAGTTTCACTGGTGGAACAAGAAATGAAAAATAGGCGACACTGCTAGGCGCTTTGACACAGACTCCTCGGAGGCCGATGATTCAATCACTTTGGCTTTTGAGCTCGCCAACAAAGCCATTGCAGACATTGCAGTCAAAACTCACGGACGGCTTCAAAGATTGCGAAGATTACAGGAAGAAAATTTTCGCCGTAGCGCTCTTTTGGATTGTACGATTCTGCCGCCGTATCTGGATTATCTGAGCCAAGACCCTGAACTTGATCCGACCTATTTGGTTCCTTTGAAGCAGTTTGGAGACCGTTGCAGGTGTGCACAAGGACCGAGCTGTTCCTTTCTTTTCTCTTTACCAGCCAATGCAGTAAACGTTTTTCTCTGTCTGACCGCTTTTGAGTCCTTTTTCTGATGGTGTAAGCCAGGGTAGTCTCGCTTGCTCCAACATTATCTGCTCCCACCCTACATTGTAGCGGAAGAACGTAATCGTACAGGAATTCTATCCGTATCTCTATTTGACTTGTAAAAGGCCAATGACAAGTCACATGCGCTGGGCGCATCGCGCCCAGTATTTGCTTATGGAGGCTTGAAGTTTCAGGGTGGGCTTCGCTGTACCCAA